CAGTCTATATGGTGGTGTGCTGAGTGCATGTTCTACCCAGCCAACCCTAAACAGTCCCACTTAGCATGACACTCTCTAAACTATTGCACTTATTCTCTGCAGAGCTCTCTGGGTTGAAAGCCCGCAAGTTTTGACAGTTCAACAGAGCAAAACGGAACCACGTAAACATCACATTTTACAAATACAAGACAGCGTGGGTGAATATTCTCCTAAGCATCCATAAAAGGAGGAACAGCTGCAGCATGCATGTGACACACAGAACTCTGGGATGAACGTTTATAGCGTCCGATTGGGGCCCAGACTCGGCTGTGCGATGAAAAGCTTAAACTGTACATTGCCCGTGGAATGTATTGTGTGAAATTGAATAGGGAGGCCATAAAGTGGACTGGAGACAGCGGCCCAAGCATGCAGAGCTGGTTATCTTCCTTGTCTGGTCAGTCCGGTCAAAGCTTTAAAACAGCTCTATAGATAGAGGCCGCACTGTGCTTTCTTTCGCTCAGGAAAATGACGACTGTGTCTCAGCTGCATTGGAGCTGCATGTTTAGGCTACAGTCACTGAGGTAATCCAGCCCTCCCGTCCACACCCGGACATCAGCATTTAGGAAAGTGAGCACTCACAGGAGCAGTGCAGGTCAGCTCATAAAGGATAAGGAAGAAGATCCTTAGTTTTTGTTTTTACTTAAGAGCAAGTCGTTTTAGCCTGAGTGCTGTGCTTTAGTAGCCATACATTCCGTATTTTAACGACCTCTATCCTCAGATGACTTTCCCTGCTCTGTGTTGTTTTTTTCAGATATTGCAATATTTTTATTCTGGCAGTAAAATTATTGATCAAGGCCAAGTGTATAAAGAGAAAATACTCAACATTTCACAATCACCTGAAAATTTATTCATCTTGATTCCTGACCTGTACAGTACTTTATCATCCGGACCACTAATCCTTCCCTCTCCTTGTTTGCCTGCCCTGGCTTTCCTTGTTCCCATCCCCAGCCAGGCAGGGGCAATAGGGCACTGCTAATGTGCTCGGTGGGTCATTAATCCTTAGGATGGCCGTGGGCAGCAGAGCAGGCGAGCTTTGTTGTTTGATATCGGGCGAAATGGTGATGGGAGGCAAAGCAGATGTTTGTGTTGGCTGGAGAAGGAAAACACCATACTTGATGCCAACCCAATCACCATTTCATGCCAGGCAACAGCTGCCCAAATACATTTCAGCCAGAGTCTGGCAAACAGAGTCAAAGGTGACCAGAGCAGCTTAACACAGACTTTTTCTGTCTTTTCTCATGTTCTTTTAGTCCTTACACTTATACGTATAACTATATATACACCTGAATGTCCATTACTTGAGGGACTGCCCTGTGAACATTATTTAGAACAATGTTGGTTAGATTATTCCAGGAGCTTTGGTATCTGCAAATCTTGAAACTGAAGGTGAACCAGACACTGATGAATGTAAAACATGCACAGGTTTCTCTGTTTGCCTGCACTGTTGTGTGTAACTGGTGTTCACCGTGCATTCACCTTTAAAGCGAGATGGGAATCAGCCGAGAGGACACACAAAAAAGGAGCCATAGACTAACCCAGATTTTTAGCTGGCCATGGTAAAAATATAACAATGTATGCGCATACATAGACCGCAGAACAAGGACAGCGCATTTAACTCTCTCCTGCTTCTCCACTCAACTGATGGGAGCCATTCATCATCGCCCACCTTCATATCTGTGTGCTGAAAGGAAAGGACTCTGTGTGTGTGTGTGTTTCTATGTAACAACTGATTAAAGATAAATATCTTCTATGTAGCTCACATGTCTTGATCCTGCTGTGGAGTTGTTTACTGTTTATGAGTTTCAGACTGCAATGAACACCGTTGTCTAGCTAACAGAGTGTGCTGCCCTCTGCTGCTCTGTTTGAGAACATCTGTGCTTAGAACATCTGCCGCTTCCACAGCACAGACTGGGATGCACACTCAACCCTACTGGGGTTGTTTTAATGGCAGGTTGGTGCAGGAGCAGCCTTTGGGCTTTTGCAAAACTTCAATGACACTTAATGTTAAATAAGATCAGAAAAGTTAGATTAATTCATAAATAAATACATAATTACATACTTGGTTAAAATAAAGAGAGCCCTTGGCCAACTTTAGCTGTTGTACCTTTTACAGTTTATTACTTCATCATCTTAAAGAATCATTTTTGGAAGCAATATTGTATAATATCTTTAATAGGCTTCTTTCCTCCCTCATGCATATTGGAAAAAGAAATTAAATCTATTTATCTCTCTCTCTATATGTATATATATCTGTCCACAACAAAACAAGAGGATATTCTGATATACTTCAGATGATGATGCTTAGATGAAAGGCTGTATGTTGCTGTATGTTAGTTAAATCATGCACCTGCAGAAAGAGGTATATCTGTACAATGCGGGAACATTTCTAACCCATTTGTCATCTCTAATTTAGCAGAGGTGGAGTGGGTGAATCAAAGGAGGCAAGTAATGAGCGCCCACAGTAGCCAGTACGGTAACCGTGGTTACATGTGGTGCATTAATGTATGTAATCTATTACTGTGTCTGTGACAAGGACACATAGCATGCTAATTAAAGAAACCTTTCATTGTGCTTCCCTTAGACACAGGTCATGTCTCATTAAAGATGGTCTCAGTGCATGGGGAGCCATTCATTACTGGAGGAAAAAAAAAAGTGGATAGATGGGATACCTGTATGCATAGACTTTCCACAATGAGCAAACCTGACAGCATGAATAGCCAATAGAAAACATTCCTTCTCGCACTGAAAATTAAGAGTTGATATATTAACAACAAACCAAAAGACATCATTACTTTGGAAAGCATAAAACATTTGGTGACCAGAAGCAAAAAAAAAGAAAGACAACTGTTGAAAAATCAATAAATTTTATTTATGAAATGAGAGGATATTCACAAAAGAATCATTGCCACATTAATATCATGTACATTACTAAATATATAATATAGAAAAAATATAAAATTGAACAAAAATAAACCACATCTTCAAAAGGCTTTCATTTCTGCCATGCCAGTTTAAAAATTAAAATAAAAGAAAAACAACAACTGAGTTTAGTCCTGGGACAATGATTTAAATAAATCAATCCCAACAGGATGCTAGAAACCCACCTGGATGTTTGGTGCAGAGGGACACTCATGCAGCAATATCTGAATGGTAGTGCACAGGCAGAAAAAACTATCTGCTCTTTAGTGGCTCCAGTAATAATTGCAGTCCAAGCCTATTTTTTTATTTTTTAAACCTAAAAGGGTGCACCGCAACTCTGTCTGGACAGAAACAACTAGCTGTCCCCCAAATGCACCATCCCCTGTACAATAAAGGAAAGAAAAAACAAAACAAAAAAAAAAAACCAACAACTGAGAAAATAAGACAGCTGGAAGGCTGTAGAGCTAATGGGTGTTATTACTGTTTGGATTTCTCTTTGTGGTCACGAGATAAAAAGGTAACATACTGGATCACTTTTCCATGGTCACAAAACACTAAAATTATCTTTACTTCGTCTGAGCTCAACTCACAATAATCAAAGTACTCTTGTGTTTTTGTTAGTCAGCTTTGTCCACTCAATTTTATACCAACCAGCCTCTATTGTCATTATTATAAGAAAAAATAATAATACAGACAAATAAGAGCATTCCCACTGTCCCTTTTGATCGTTATTATATTCATTTGGAAATGGCTTCATCCAGTTGTTATTTAAAACAGTAACATTATAATTACATGCACCTTATTATAGATGATTCAGTCTGCATTAAGGGCTGAGTGTTCGGCCAATCTTATCAGATAACTTTCACAAAACTTGCAATACAGAGGTATATTATTTTAGGTCTAATTGGAATTAACCACCTTACCCTAGCTCCCATGTTGGCCAGGAGGCTATTCTCGTGGTTTTCATGTCATTTCCCTGCCTCTCCAGTACTTATCACGTTCCACAAATAGACTTAAACGCCATTGAATTGGACTACAGTTAAAGATGTTGGTTCTTGTCCTGATCTGCACGTCTGCTGAGCTTTGCATTATGAAACATGTACAATTTCTGCGTCTGCTGCAGATTCTGGCTGAAGTGACCTTTCAGCTTACAGCTGATTTCGTACCGAGCCAGAAAAGAGCCTTCTTGGGATAACAGACTCACTGAAGGCAGCTGAAAGTTTCCCAGCTAGCAGAAAAAAGGTGGGGCTAGCTGGTTAGCAGTGCCTTGGCTTTCAAACTAAAATAACAAGGTACTGAATTGAGAAGAAAAAAAAGAAAAAAAAAAAAAAGTAAAAGCAAAAGCACTGGTCCATCTTTTTATTTATTTTTTTTTAATTCAGTATCTTGTTATTATTAACATGAACTAACAAAAAGTGTGATTCAAGTGATCCACACATGGTAAATTTCAAAATCAGAAGTAAATTAAACTACATGAAAATGAACACAAGAATGCAATGGCACTGAAAATATTTTACCAGTCAAACTGTTGGAAATTCTCTGTAGTGGAGTGTTATCAATCCTTCAAAAATGTGACCTTCTCCGTGACCCAACTCTAACACGTTTGATTGAGATGCATTTACAAAACAGTAAATCAGGTATTTAAATAAGTAAGGGTTGAAAAGATCTTGTCCTTTGCCAAGTTAACACCCATGATTTCTACAGCCCCCCATAAAGTAGTCCCTGTCTGATTATGAAAGCAAATGAGCAGTCCAAGACAAGTGCAAATCCTCCCTGAGACTGGTCTATGTACTTACACAGACATCTGATTCAGCATTTTACAACCCCCATTCCCCTACTAGAAGCCTAAAGCAGTCACACTGACCAGCCTAAAATTGTGTATGGTGGCACCTTGACAGCTTGCTTTGTTTTCACACAACATTTAAGACAAAATACATGGATTCATCATCATCATCTAGTCACAATAAGGCTCATAGAGAAGCACGTAAACCAGACTGGTCGGAAAATAAGTGGATCAAAAGAATGGTTGTTGATCACAGTTATTATTGCTAAAATGATTATCATTATGATTTATTTTAATGATGAACCATCCTCAGACACATGACCAGATGCTGGTCTCCATCCACACATCTATAGAGCTGTGACATACCACAGTGGAGATGGGTGGGGAAGAGCTGTGTGAAGTGACTCAGCATGTGATCCTCATACTCATCTCAGGGCTTCAATCCTCTGGCGACAGACAGAGGGACGTTATGTCGTCATGTGTCTCTCAGGTGACCTCGGTTTTGAAGGCTTTGGAAGTGGGCATCCTTCAGGATGCGGTTGATATGCAGGTAGGACACTGGGTTCGTGGGCTCAAAAGAATTGCCCACACTAAGCGGACTGCAGGGGCCCTGAGCACACTGACTGACGCAGCTCCCAGCTGCACGTTCAGGACTGCTGATGCTGCTGCTGCTCTCACTGTTGGATGACTGAAATGCAGATATTAACATTACCATTAGAATGTTAGAATCCAGGGTCTGCACATCAACGTGGAATTTAATATCATACAAAGTGAAACAGATACTACTTTAAATCTACATCTAGTAAAATTCAAAGCTCCTGACTAAAAATAAAATAAAATACTACAAAGTTAAAATACCACATGTACACAGACTAATACAGGAAAACAGAGGGATATTTCAAACTAAGGAACAAGCAGTCATGATTTTACAACAGTTTCATCAGCACAGTGACATTATGGGTGCAAGTAAGTGTACTTGTTTTCTTTTATTGCAGATTTGGAAAACTGACATGTTTCAGGTCAAACCAATTTTAGCATTAGACAAAGATAACCTGAATGAATAAAAAATGCATGTTTTAAATTATCTTAAATCTTAATATCTTTAATTGAAAGTTTTGGAAAATAAGGTTTGAGTTTCATTAGTACCAGCATAAAATTTAATTTGTACATCAACATCATATCCATCTATTCTCTACTGCTTATCTTTTTTTCAGGGTTGCAGGGGTGCTGGAGCCTATGCCAGCTGTTATAGGGCAAGAGGCAGGGTGCACCCTGGACAGGTTGCCAGTCTGTCGCAGGGCTAATACACACACACACACAACTAGTTGCACCCGCATTCATATCTATGGGCAATTTAGAGGTTCCAATTAACATATCCCTATTAACTGCATGTCTTTGGGCTGTGGGAGGAAGCCGGAGTACCCGGAGAGAACCCACACAAACACAGGGAGAACATGCAGACTCCACACAGAAAGACCCCGGCCTGATAGTGGAATTGAACCCAGGACATTCTTGCTGTGACGGAACAGTGCCAACCACTGTGCTGCCAACATTACATTAAAAGTCAAATATGGTAGGTAATGTTTAAGGGAGAAAGTCTGTTGATCAGTTTGTGCCATGAAGCTCAAACACACTAGTCAATGCAGTAGGACTTATCTAAAAACACACAAGCAAGTCCACCTTTGAATGGCTCAAGAAAACAAAAAAATGGACAGCTTTGGACTGACCTAGTCAAATTCTAGACTCAAATCAGATTCGGATGCTTTGGGTTTGTCCTGAACTCGAAAAATGCTCAAAAACCTAGAGAGTGTAGCTGAATTAAAACAATTCTGTAAAAAAGAAAGGGCAAAAATTCATTCACAGTAATGTGAAGGACCCGTAGCCAGTTATCAAAAGCTAGACTGCAGTTCTTGGGTCAAAGGATGGCACAAGTAGTTATTAGGTTTACTTGTTCACATAGGGCCAGGTAGGTTTGGATAGCTTTTTCACCTTAATAAATGAAACCATCATTTAAAAACTGCACTTTGTATTCACACCAGTCATCTTTGTGTAATATCAAAATTTGCTTAATGACATGCAAAAAAATGAGAAATGCTTATTCTGCATTTCTATTCAGGTTTCTGTGAGTATCATGTTACCTTCCCTCTATAGTTTCTAAATGAACTGAATAACATGCTTAATGCAAGTTTCAGTTAACGCTTGTACCTCAGAGTCCCAGGCATCACGCCCTGGCTCAGGAGAGATGGGATGTGCTCTGGTCGGCCTTTTGGCTTGGGGCACCAGGTGGCTATTCTCCTCATCACCACCACTGTGCTGCCGTTTCCTGTTCAGGTAGAAAGCCAAAATAGGTAAAGATTACTTTGGCCTCACCAACTTATTAAAAACAAGTGTAAGCAACATATGAGACCTAACTCCTCAGTTAACTGTAGAGTAGACGAATTTAAAAGCAATGACTTATCCGTGCTACAGTGTATACATGACGATTATTATGCAAAGTCACTGCAAGCTGCCATTGTTATATTCAAGACCAGCTAGCTCGGTATATTCTCAACGGTACTTCGAAGACACCATAGACCTACAGCACTACAGTTGTTAAAGTAATACAGTTGCTGTGACCAATTACGGTTGCTGGAACCATGCTTATTTTGTTAGCATATTCAACATTTTACGTGGGTCCTGCAACAAAGGCCACGGAAACGTCGAGCCAACTCTCGTTCAATCACTCGTTCATCTACTCAAATGGAGTTATATTGTAAGCTCACCTGCTTTCAGTCAACATATGATAACACTTGAGCAACCTAAGTGAGATTCTTCTTTTTATTTTCTTCTGAGCAGACAGGAGGAGCCGGTTGGCTGTCGTTATTTGCTGGTTAACGGAGCTCGTTTCCTGTCTGTCGACGGCCTGTTAGTTTAGCTAACTTTGCCTGATTAGCTAATTACGCTCAATAACAATGCGATACAGTTTTCCATTTCAGTCACAGTGCCAAAGACATCAGTTAGAGTGATAAACCACACAAAAAAATCGACGTGGCGCTAATTGACAACAAAAAAAGATCAGGCGTTGACGAGCTAGGTAGTTAACAAGCCTGTCCTAAAGCGCTTTATCATAGGTTCAAAGCTAATGCTAACGTCACCGCAAGCTAACGGGAATCCTCTTATCATATGTTAGCTAACTACAGCACGCAGTACAATTTTTACTCCCTTTCGGAACTATTGCGCTCTTAAATCGAAATAAAATTACTAGCGTTCAAACTCAACCTAGCCAACGATACTTGCAACTGATAACACGCACAACCAACCGCGACTGTTGTGTTTACATGGCACCGCGCCTGCGCAAAGACCACTTATGGTGCCTTTAAAGACCAATAGGAAAAAACGAACCCTAACTCACATGGCTTTGTTTTTTTGGGAGAACAAAGCATATATATACCAATATAGACGTAAAGGTTAATAACAAGGGCAACAGAAATAAGCAACAGAAAATAAAGCTAACTTGTGTAATGCATGCTTTTCCTTTTTCATAAGTAAAAATATGAGGTGGCTTGGGACTGAAAGGAAGAACGCCTAAAGGTAACAGTATTCTAGCAATTATAGTGTGAAATTTGTACATTCGCTTTAGAAGCAAGTTTTTGGTTCGATGTCAGTCAAATGCACAAATCTCTTGCGTCTTGTTCCCGGATTCTGTGGTAACCGAAAGTAACAAAGCATTCAGAGACTTACGTTCTACACACGAACTGACTTTAAACAGCACATTAACCCTGAAAATGTACTGATCAAGTCAACCCCATTTATACCACATTAATTTCCCCATAGGATGTCGCCATTTGCAAACACATTTATGGTCATAATGTTTGTCTTGAGGGCTGAGACTATTAAATAGAAACAAGTCAACAAAGCAGTAAGCTGAAGTCTATTTCCACATATACCTTCTTATGTATATTTTATACTGAAGAGTAGACGTGCAGATTAGGTTGCCATGTATTATATTGTATTTTCTGTTGTATGGCAGATAGAAGGCTTAAAACAAAATATCCACTCTGAAGTAAGTGGCTGGCACATTTTCAACCCGGAAGTTGCAGTCTGTAGTGCAGCCTGCTTGCCCAGTCAGCCAATAGAGTGAAAAATTGTCTCCGCCAATGACTCAAGCGAAGGACGGAGGTGAGATTATCAGGGATTGTCAGTAGCGGCGGTCCTTCTGTGTATAAAGGCAAATAACCGCAATGGGCAGCACCGACTCTAAATTGAACTTCAGGAAGGCAGTGATCCAGCTCACGACCAAAACACAGGTGGGTTATGAGCAGTTTATATGTATATTCTATCCAACTAAATAAATCGTTAAAAGACAGAGCCAGTGGGCGCACCGAAGAGCATCGTCGACGAGATGAAGGGATAACGCTTGCGACGCAGGAGCAAAAGAAAACATATATAAATAAAAATAAACTAATCTCGTGTTGCATGCAGCCTTTTCGGGTCACGTCTGTTTATTATTTTGCAGATTATAAATATTTATCACCTGAATGTAACGCGGCAAACAGGCCTGTGTCGTATTTTTATTAAACTGGATTAAATTGTCACAGAATCTGTTTTGTGAGTCACCGTAATTTGTTTTTGTTTGTTTGTTTGTTTTTTGCTTGTTTGGTTTTTCAATGCTGTACGCGTTCAGTTCAGATGATTATACATTATGGCGTACAGCAAAATCAAAGGTGATGACGTAGGTCTGGACTACGTTTGCAGATGCGGCAGGTGGACTGTGCAGTCAGTGTCACAGATACTGTTTGCGCTGCTGCTAGAACAAGCAATTGTGTTGACATTGCCATGAGCTCTGATTATGTATAAAATACATGAAAGAATAAGCGTGTAGATCTTTGTATGAAGGTAAAGGTCTCAGATGCGATTTTAATGCTGTGCAGCGCAAGATCAAGGCTGTTGTAAATAAAATAAAATAAAATAAGACGTCTGGCCGAGGTTAAATGCTCAGCTTTGCTTCAAAGGGAACTGAAATGTGCACATATTTTTCTCCAGCCAGTGGAAGCCACAGACGATGCCTTCTGGGATCAGTTCTGGGCAGACACCACCACCACGGTCCAGGATGTTTTCGCACTGGTGCCAGCTGCAGAGATAAGAGCTGTTCGAGAGGAGTCCCCCTCAAATTTAGCGACCCTTTGTTATAAAGTAAGCATTAAATAAACTCTCGGCGCATTTTGTGTTACATAATGGAATGCTGTTGTTTGGAAACTGCCTTATTTTGACTGCATAGCCCTGCACAGGCTCTTAGATGTCTGAATAAATGAGTCAGCTCCCCTTCCTTTTCCCGTTGCTTCCCGTCTCTAGCCACCAGCTTCCGTTTTGAAGCTGCCTGTCAGAAACAAACACAGTGGGGCTCACAGCATAATTAAATGAAGAGGTGGGGATGAGAGCCCTTGAAAGCTGAGCAGGTTCAAAGGGGTTCTTGCTTATTTTTAGCTTGCTTATCTGCAGCGTGTATTTGATTTGATTAAATTTAGATAATAAATCACCAAGTAAATTTTTGTTTTTGGTCCAAAAATTGCAGATACAGAGATTAAGTATGCTTGTCTGTTTGTTGGTAAGACTGCTGGTGCTTAACATGGTGCCATGTTTCCTAACAAACAAATGAGCATGACTCTTGATAACTGCTATAATATCTTTATGTCCTCAAACTAAAAGTTGATTGGAAATTATTATAATCATAGATTAAAATCTATGATTATGGATGGATAGCTGTTTTCCTCATGGTGACATTCTGGTTTGGAAAGAATTCAGTGTTAAAATAATTATATTATTTCAAAAAAATGTTATAAAACACTATAGATCCTTGATGTGTGGTGAGGTGTGCTGTGTGGGTCATGCTTCATTAACTAAACAAGTTCTAGCACCAGTGTAGCTGAAGCATATTCACTGTTTTTAAATTGAATTAAAACACAATATCAAACTGAATTAAATGATCAGTGCCATATATCAGTACAGAAGATGTAGATACTAGATATTATGTTCCATACTAAATATAATCACCCACTTACAATGTTTCTGGATTCTTCAGGCCGTGGAGAAGCTTGTCCAGGGAGCAGAGTCTGGTTGTCCCTCTGAGAAAGAAAAGCAGGTAGTCCTGAATTGCTGTCGCATCCTGACCCGCATCCTTCCCTACATCTTTGAGGACCAGGACTGGAGAGGATTTTTCTGGTCCACAGTGCCTGGTGCTGGGCGGGCTGGGGTGAGTTGGCATGGGAAAAGGAAGATCAGTTTGTCACAGATTAACATTGTGTATCCATGGTTGTATGGAAGAAAATCGAGGCACACACTGGAGAGGTCACCAGTCTATCACAGTGCTCACAAGCCTGGATCAGGAGTTAAGAAAATAGATAGCTAGATAAAAATATTCATAAATATACTCATCACATTCAGCGGGTTTTTAAATCACTTGTAACACTAAATACTGCTTTTGTTTGTTTCTAAAAAAATATGACAGAGTGTCAACAAGCTTCTCGGAAGCTTTCTTATTTTACTTATATAAAGATGGATTCACCTAATAAATTAGTTGCAATGTTCCCTCTAAGCTGAGCGCGTGAGCAATCGCACACTGCTGACACGGTCTCCCCACACAGAAAATCACACACACAAAAAGAAAAAAAATCCAGCCTGAATTGGAATTAAAGTAAATACATGTATTTATTTTATTTCGCTGATTTTCTGTGCGCGGAGACTGTGTCAGCAGTGCGCGATTGCTCATGCACTCAGCTTATAGGGAACAGTGGTTATAAGCCCTGTGCTTTCCCAAGTGGGAATGCTTTATTCCAGTGAACCTAAATTCCCTCATTCCAGATATAAAAAGGTGTATTCTCTTCCTTTTCTTTAAAAAAATGTAAATATTTTTGAAGGATTCCACTTTTTCCACATTTTTTCAGACAGACGAGCTGGATGATGATGAAGGAGCTCGACCACTGGCCGAGTCGCTGCTCCTGGCTATCGCTGACCTCCTCTTCTGCCCTGACTTCACTGTGCATAGTCACAAGAGGGGCCCTGTGAGTAACAGCTGTCCTTCTGACACGGTACAGTCCAGTGTCATTAATTTGTCATCCTACCTCCATCCAGCAAAAGAAGTTACTGCTGACAGAATAGTGCAGCACAAACATTTATTCCTTGACCTTAGTCTCTAACATTGTTCCAGACGTTAGACATATTTCTTCAGGCACTGTTTCCTTCTTCCTGATCAAAGATTTCCAAACTAACCTGCCACTCAAGTTTGACTGAAGCACCGAGCTAGGTTCTGGTGGCTGATACTTTCTCAGTGACAAAGGAAGAATTCTCCATGAGTATGAAAAGAATGTTGCTCAGTCTGTAACTTTGAACTCCCCATTGCTGTTCATGTAATCATTTCAGTGCTAAGGTAGATGTCAGAAAAGTCTGTTATTGCAACTAAAGTGAAATTATCTTTTATATAAAAAGTGACAGCAACAGCAAATTATACCTACCCACAATCTGGATGGCAATGGCAGAATATTAGAATTCATATACCAGAAATCAGGTTTCATAAGCTATTTCTTACCAGGAGTTAACAATGTTTGACAATGTCAATCTTCCCATTATCTACAATTGAGTCGAAGTCACTGAATAAATTACTTTGCAAATCTAAGACCAGGAAATGTAGCTATAAAGCTATTTGACTGGATTTTTTTTGTGTGTGTACGTCTGTGTGTGTGACTTTATCCAGGACTCAGTAGAGAGCATGCAGTCTATAGACAGCTGTGAATACATTTGGGAGGCAGGGGTGGGATTTGCACAGTCGCCCCCTCTAAACTACATCCATGATCTGAATAGGTGAGTTGGCCTCAAGTGTGTAAAATCTCATGTGTGGTAAAAGCTAAAATGTAATCTTATTTTTGTGTGTGTGTGATTTACTTTTCTTTTTTCTTTTTTGTCTTTTCTGTCTTTTCAATCTCCATCCTTCAGGACAGAACTGTTGAGATTATTACTGACCTGCTTCTCCGAGGCCATGTACCTCCCTCCTTCATCAGACAACACTATCCTCAATCCTTGGGTGACATTTTTCTGCTCAACAGAAAACAGGTAATGGAAAATAAAAGCACATGCACACATACAGCAATGATTTAAAAAAAAAAAAAAAAAAGAAGGAGAAGTACACAAATTTTAAAATCCAATTCTAAAGTTTTACTCACAGGACACGATAAAAAAAAAGGCCCTTAGCACATCTCAAAATGAGGTAAATACAACCTCAGATGAACTATGACATATGACAGCATGTCATTTATCACTTAACACAACTTAAACCAGACTACAGAAGCGGTGTGTGACAAAACAAAGT